TCCATAATTTTCGTGTTGGTTGCAGTGGACTGTGTTTGTTGTGATTGTTAGAGATAATGCGCTCTGCAGTGAAGGGGCTAGCCAGTAGGGCGGAAGAAGGGTACAGCAGCGGTGGAGATGGTGGCTCTACCACGGTAAGTCTTGCCAGAGCAAGGTTGAGAAGGATTCTTGTTGGATGACTGCAGCCAGTGCTTGAAAGAGTGGATGATTGGAACTACAACTATGGTGACGATTGGTGGCTTGTCTGGTATCCGCTGGTATCCTTGGTCCCAGTAGGTTTGCTAATGGACGAGGTCAGAACGACGCTGGTTGGTGCTGGGGCTTGGTCGCGCTGCCCTGTAACCGGAGCGGTACGGGGGCATGAGACCTGGTAGAGAGATCTGGGGAGTTGTCGAGGGTGGAAGGCACTCTAGTGTCTATTGGTGAGCTGGTACTTAGTCGACGCTGGCCAGAGTCGGGGCGGGTCGCTTTGCCCTGTAGCCTAGCAGGTGGGAGTTTTCTGGGGTGGGTCGTGCCACTCTGTAACCTAGCAGTTGGGGGTGGGAGGCCTGGTAGAGATTGGGTATCGGGATATAGGGGAGAGGGGGATAGGGTTGAGCTGCTGACAGTCGCTAAAGGCAGGTGGTTTTCGGTCTGAATATTCCCATGATCAAACCTTAGAGAACCTAATTGTTTGTGTAGATTGCATAGCTATCATCTTTCAGCCGAAGCCGGGTAATGGCCCCGGTATTTTCAAAGTGTTCTGCATAATTTTCTCAATATTTTCTTGAATGGGATACTGGGCCCGGTTCCCAGCACGTGTTGCTTCGCACGAATATATTGGATCATGTACTGGTGGTTTAAACCGCGAGTTAGCCCAAAGCAGCTCCTAGCAGTTTAGGCGGTAAGGGCTTTTTTATTCGGGTGTGGGCCGGTAGTGAACATGGTAGGCGACTAAAGGCCCAGTTGGAGGCTCACGAGCCTTGGAAAGTGTAGCTTCATCAACTTACACTCGTGTGAACTGGTGGTTTAAACCACCGGTACGTCCAAGCCTCTTTTCCATTTCTGCGGGCACGTAATTGCATCTGTTTGCCTTGTTTTGCCAGCCTTTTCTATGCACTAGGCCGAGCCGCAGAGGATGCGGCATGTTGCTAATCGGTATCACAATGTTTTGATTAAGAAAACGGACATGTAATTATTTCAATGTTTTCATTGAAAAATGGACCAGAAGAGGAGGATCCCCCTTCTTCTTCTTCTTCTTCTTCTTCTTCTTCTTCTTCTTCTTCTTCTTCTTCTTCTCCTTCTTCTCTTTCTTCTTCTCCTTCTTCTTCTTCTTCTCCTTCTCCTTCTCCTTCTTTTGTTGTTGTTGTTGTTGTTGTCAATGATACCTTGGACCCCCAGGTGGTAGGTCTGTCTTCCACTATGGTGCTCTATAGCTGGCAAACACACACATCGCCATAACCCAATGGGAAACAGATAGGGCATAAGGGGTTGGAAGAGAAGAGATAGGGCAAGAAGATCAAACATGGGTAAAGCATCCATTTTGGAGGTGTCGTATAATAGTCAGCGCGGTTGGGCCCCATTTTACAGCCTCCTAGACGGAGACCTAACTGCTTCTTTGACTTGAGGGTTGTTGACTTTCACCTAGTGGCACTGACTCGTTGATTGGTGTTGACATTCCCCCTATTGATTCTACTACTATTGGGACTGGGTTATGGCAGACCACTATAGAGTGGCCACAGGCAGTCTTTGGACAGCCCAAAGGCCCTCAAGAATGATTCACCGTCAGGAGGCGGTATCTAACACTTTCCCTTAACACTTTTGACCGGCCCCAGATCAACGTTTGTGGGAACATGTCTCATTTACATGGTGGTTTGTAACTAAGTACTGGTCCCTGGGGCTAGAGAGGTGGTGAAGCGAGCGTCCGCGGATCATGCCCATTAGTTACGGAATACGATATTGCCGCCAGCAGGCGCGTCCTACCTAGAAGACTTCAAAGTTCAAATGTAATTGGCATCAACACAATTTACGACAGCTGCTCAGTCCAGGAAAGGCTGAGGAAAGGCTGACAACGGTCCGAACATGGAAGGCCATGCATGCGGGTCATCCAAGGCTACCGTCTTCACCCGAATAGAATGCCCGGTCATTATAGCCGTATTTGGGGCAAATTTCATACCAGATGCAGCTATAATGATCGGGCGTTATATCCGGGTGAAGACGGTGTTACATACTTCAATGAGTATGGGCAGAACCAAAGATCAACCAATGTAGGATGAGCATATATGCAGCGGAAGTCTGAGAAAACGGACTGACTCACATAGAGATCACTCCACACACATACAATCGTGAGATGGTGGGGTTTGCACCAAGCATAGACGATGTCCAAACCTCGTACACACATACACAGATGAGAGGTGGGAGGAGAGACGAAGGAGGAGGGGAGATGTAGGTAGCACCAAATGTCACCGAGATAGAAACCAGTAGGTCACTGATATGGTATCCAAAATGTCATCGAACAAGATCAGAATGTCGAGGACAATAAGTCACCAATGTCGGAGATACAGAGTCCTAATGTAACCGGTGTCCAATCTGTGCTGCAGCCGAGTATCATCCCCAACAATCTCCAAATCTCGAACTCGGTAAGTACCACAGCCTCTTACCACTGAAAGTCCAACTCTGATCTCTGTCCAACTAGTATAAGTATCCAACCTGAAGAAGAAGAAGAAGACGAAGAAGAAGAAGAAGAAGAAGAAGAAGAAGAAGAAGAAGAAGTGAGCCGAGGATGAGAGAGAGAGGGGACTGACGAGGGGAGGGAGGAGGGACCTCCAACTCCCGATACCTCGACCAGCTATGGCCGCCAGTGCTCTCAGTCGCCGCTGCTGCTGCTCCGCTTGCTGCTGCTGCGCTAATGCTGCGCTGCGCTGCTCCTCGCTGCTCCTGCGCTAAAGATAACGCCAGCGCTAATGTGCGTTGTACCATACTGTACCGGTAGAGTGCCGGTAGGTCGATCCCTTCGACTGAGGCTGGACCGGTTCTTTATACTGGTGGGGCAGAGGCCGGCCTCAAGGCTGCGAGGCCTGGCCGTGCCCTGAACCGTCCAGATGGACGGTTCAGCCCCAACCGGCGGACGGCAGCCTCAAGAGCACCGCCAGGCCAAAACGGTAATGTCGTTTGGGCCTGCCCGTCGGGTCTGGTCCAAGGTGAGGCCTTTACGGCCTGTAGTACCCCCCAAGGTCGGGCCTTTGGCCCTACTGTGTCCCTCTACCCCTATGTTGGGTCCGGTAGGACCCGTGTGGCGTCGAAGATGTAACACACTCCCCCTCTTAAAAGACCAAGCTACTTGCTAGGGCGGAGTTGTCTGTTCGATACCGGGATGGGTCGGGTGGGACGAGCTGCTGCCTTGGCAAGTCTTGTCTTCTCATAGTTGGCGAAGATRAGGGGTGCAGAAGTCTGCAAGTCTGCACTAGAGATCCACCGAGTGTCGTCAGGCGCACATTGCTTGAATGTGACTTTGTACTGCATTGGCTTGTTGCCATACTTGCGGCGCGTGATGACTCGGTCCACTTCCTGATGTCCGTCCATRGAAGGCGGATCCTGTGATCGACGTCCGGGAAACTCGTCCACTGAAGGTGGTGTGTAGATGGCCAACTTCCATGCGTGGAAGACCCAATGCACTGTAAGGTGCGGTGGAATGTTGATCACGAAGGAAGGACCTGCGGGGTCGTCTCCAACGGCAGAAGTGACTTCCCATGGTCCAAACCATTTCGGAAGGAGTTTGCGCGAAACGTCCTGCTGCTGCATGCGGATCGAACCCAAACAAGGTCTCCCTCGCGGAAAGGACATGGAAGTCGACGTCGGTTAGCCTGCTGCTGCATGCGGATCGAAGCCTTTTGCATATTTGTGCGGGCTTTGATCAGCAAGTCCCGGTACTTCCGAACGGAAGCGGGAGAGCAAGGGACGCCTATGTCGGCAGCCTGTGGCAGAAGGAGATCAGCGAAGATCCGTGCTTTCTCTCCACCATGATGAAGCTCGAATGGTGTGACGCAGATCGTCGGGTGCACCGAAGTGTTATAGGCGAACTCGATGTCGGGAAGCCGGTCAACCCAATCTTTCTGGTCGGGACGGATGAGCGTACACAACATCATCTGAGCGGTCTGGTGCGCTCGCTCCGTCTGGCCATCCGTCTGCGGGTGCCGAGCCGAGCTCGGCTTCATTGTCGTACCGGACTCAGCCATGAGGGAAGTCCAAAAGGTTGACATGAAGCGAGTATCTCGGTCGCTCACTATGTCTTCCGGAACACCCTGGTTGGTGATCCAACCGGTGTGCAAGAGTCATGCGAGCTCGGGTGCTGCAGCATGATACTTGCAAGGAAGGAAGCGAGCATACTTGCTCAAACGGTCAACGACCGTGAGAATACCGTCATGGCCGTGGCGATCGCGGGGAAACGGGCCTGTCACGTCCATAGCAATGGAGAGGCGTGGTGCCCGAGGGATCGACAACGGTTTCAGTTCGCCGAAGGGGACTCGAGATCGACCCT